GATTTTTGTTCTTGACAAATTTATTTGTTCTTTTGAATAGCCGTTTTTAGCAATCGCGACGTAGTTTCCCCTTTTTAGGTAAGCAGAATTTGATGCTCGAACCGATAATTGAGAAGTACGTGCAGCTAGAGCGACTATCCTGTCCTCAGCGCCAGTCAAGTAGTGGGTCCGCGAAATAAGGGTTTTTTAAAAACTTAAAGTTAAAATGAATACAACCGGTCCGATTTGAGGTCCGTTTAATACTAAATATTACAAGTATTCTATTATATTTATATCCTATTCTTAAAGGCCTACGTGACCGTTGTGCTGACACATTGTTCTCACGCTCTACAAGGAAACGTTACTTAGTAAGAACTAAGAGTGGTTCGTAAATCATGTAAGTGTGGTTCGTAAATCATGTAACAGCATTTCGGCTATTGAAATATAAAGGATCTTTGTACTACTATGTTGCAATGGTTTTTTGTTTATATAAAATATAATTATCCTATGGTGGTGACACACGGGATTATATAACTAGTTTTATAATGAGAACTTGTTTTATGAGAAATACTTTTCAAAATAACACTGTCCAACGCCATGAACGCTTAGAATTCTTAATTGTTACAAATTAAAGGCGCAATCATAATTCAAGAATGCTCTACAAATTTAAATTATATAAAGACAAAACATTGAACAGTTGGTTATCAAACAAATACGGGCACATAATTTCACCTTGAGAAAAATTCCATCGAAAATAGCTTCGTCCGTTCTTCTTATTTCAATACTCTAGGTTACATTCATTTTTGACGATATATCATGCTAGACGGGATGCGATATGGCCCGGCCCATCTACGAGCGAGACGGTGGCGCCATAGGTGGTGGGTCACAAAGGCTGAGCCTTAGTAAAGTAACTCCTAATACACAATAATATTTAGACTATGAAATTACTCGTACCAATTAAATAAAAATAATAATAAAAATTGATAATTTATCGTAACAATACAAGCCGTTATCTCACATTAAAACAACGCACACACAATCCGTAAGGTCATACAGCAACACTTCCTCGTTACTTTATATCTTAATTTTAATAAAATGTTAGGTATTTCTAAATTTAATTTTGTTATGTTAACGGTTAACAAGACTCAACAGTTCTTAATAAAATTTAAGCTGTTTGACTTGGATTAATTGACATAGGTGGGACGTTTAAAAAACATAGATCTACCTACTAATACTGTTATTAAAAACTTAAAAGACCGTTTCTATTTCCATTTTTTATATTAAGTATTAGTATTATTACATTATTTTTCTTTTTTCGCGACTGACACGCAAACTAGCTTCTGTGGTCTCTGGCAGAATGACCAGCGCTGTGGAACAGTCTGCTCCTCAGCATAATGCTGAGTCAGGGCCAATTAAAACCACAGCACACACGCATTACACACTTAAAACGAACCGAAAGGGAAAACAATTTTTTTTTCTTTGATTATTGTTATTATGTGTGTGTTTTTGCTAGTAATAAATGTTATGTCTATGTCAGTACAAGTTGCTCGTCCATTCTTGGTTTAATCTTCTCTTTGGAATAATAAGGCACTTTCTACAAACAATTATTTCTTGAATAGGAATCAAGGATTTATTTTAACAATATTTTTTTGGTGTTTTAATATTGGTACATACAAAAACTTGTATATTCTTATCAAGCTTAGGCTTACTGAAATACTATTTTAAATACGCAATAGCCTAATCAATAAACAACAATTTTGACATTTTAAACAAAACAAACCTTTCAATACGTCATAATCACGCGTAATATAGTCAAACCGATAATATTTTTCTGAAATTTCGCAAGATATTAAGGAGCTATAATGATAAGACGATTATGATTGTACAGTGCGTTTATTTAGGGCAATTGAATGTCTCGGTCAAGTTCGAGCATTGTTTACTTTGTATGTTCAAACGAAGTGTTTCAATGTTTTTACTCTAGGATCGTTGCATACCAAGTATGCAATCAGATTCCGCAAATCTTAAACAGAGGCTTTAATGAGTGCTGAGTACCAGGGTCGCTAAAGTAGCGACTGATTGAACTCCAGCAAAAAAGAAGAGTGGCAAGCTATATCAAGATTAGGACAATGCGTAGGATTCGAGATGGGTTAAAGAACCAGACCGAAGATTGTGTCGAGTAGATCTCTTCGAGACAAAAGCCATGACTCATAAGGGCTTGCAGCGTCAATGGATTAACGGACTGTCGCTTCTTTGATAGTACTTTTGTTAGAAAGCTAAACTAAAAATCATTAATACTACGAATTTTCTACCAAGTTTTTTTTTCCGTTCAATGAACCATATTCAATTTGAAACCGGTTTCTTCTATTTAAATCTCATAAATAAACATGAAACTTTATTTAAATAGGCGTCCGAATATTTTATTAAATACTAAAATAAAATATGTAATAAAATTTACAGTGTGAAAATGATTTTTCAATTCTCAATTCAAAACGTCTAAACTATTTACGTAACTCGTATACCTTCAGATTATAACACAAATTACTAGCAAATAGATATATTTAAGGTTACTAAAAAATGCTTAAAAAATAACTCTGGTATCCTTTATTAGATATAATGGCATTTCATTTATATTTTTCTATAAGTAGGTAATATTATTGTTAACTGTGTTTTATGTTTATGTTTAAATGTGTATTCTGTTTTTGGCGTTTGTGTATAATGTAATTGTTTTGATATTGTGTAGTGATTAGCTGTAGGAATACTGATATGAAAATAAATAAAAGATGAATTCTTATTATTGATATTACCTTGGGGGTGAAGCTGGCAGCTAGTAATGAATAATCCCACGTTAATTTTGTGGCCACAAAGTCCTTGGGTAATGAGTGAGCAAAGATTTGTGGACAATATCGTAGTCTCCCTATTGGACATTGGGATATATAGAGAATGCGATCATACTAAATTTCAAAACATGATCTTCTGAAAATTCCCTTAACAAGGTTTATTAAGGAAAATTTTATAACGATTGTATCGTAGTTATGAACTAAAGTTCGTACATTCGTTTCGTTCTTTCGTTCGTACTGGAAGGATTTAGTTACAATTCATGAACAGCCGACTTGACAAATGCAGGCTTATAAATGCCGCATCATTATCATATCTAACGTTTTGCAACACAATATGTATAATTAATATCTAAAGTTATGATAGTTATGATAGTAATAAAATAGTAACTTATGATAGTTTTTATCATATTATATTGTATGTTCATATCATCATATCTCATCAGAGCGCTAAAATATAGTTATTTAAAACTAGTCAATATGCAAACAACATTGACATTATAAAAACTATTTTCATTTCCGCAATAGTTTTAACGTATACGTGTTACATTAACATTACATTAATTCCTCATCGCCTCTGTGCTTTATTGGTAACAAACATGGCGAAACCCGTGATTTTGGGTTCGATTCCCAGGACAGCAAAAAAAAATCGGGTTATAAGCAACGTTGGTAGATGATCTACTTGTCTTAAATATCAATGAAACTAGTAAAAACTTATCCATTGCCTCAATGGGGCCTTGGGACTTCAAACGATATTATTGTCTAATAATATACTTTCTAAGTACTGGGAAACTTTGATAAGAAATCGCAGTATATCACTCTATCTCTTTAAGATAAACCTCAAATAAAATGAAATGACATGAAAATAAGAAATAAAAGAACCCATTCGAAGCTTTTTTGCAAAGCGTTATATGTATTTACCGACATATGTATGAAATTTATGTTCCGAAAATTAACTATAACTATAGTCACCACTCACTAGTCACTATTTATATCGTAGTAAAGGTCGCAATGTCAAACACTCGCCAAACACGAAACATTTAAATTTCTGAATGTAAGCGTAAAACAAGATCATACGTCATATGACGTCGTAATTCTCGAACTTATATTCTATAATTCACAGCTGTTCAAATTGAAACATATTTTATTTAGTTTTACATAATATTCAAAACCTAAAGTTTAAATTCGTAAAGACGTTGAATATTTCATTTTTATTTCGATGCGGGATCTCGACTTACGATACTTATGCGTAGTCACTTCTAGTACGTAACATAATTATTGATATTTTGGATATAAATCAGTGTAAATAGTAATTAGTTAATATATTGTTCTTAATATTGTTACCTGTATCTAAGTCATATCATTACTGATAAAAAACCATTGTATCTAAATCGCCAGCGAATTGTAACTTCTTCATATTACATATAATAGAACAAAAAATAGTGTAATTATGTAATTGATTAGATAAATTCGTAATAATACAAGTAATAATATAAGTTTGTTGAACACAAGGGTTGCTATGGAAACTATTATTATTGTGTGATCAAAATATATCATTGCAAAATGTTGTGTAAGATTATATGAGATTTTTTTTACTTAATTCACTGTTTTTATTAGCTCTTTATTGACCCTGAGTGTTGCTTCTATACCAAAAACATTTAATCTAAAAAAGTATAGTTCTACATATGTTTACTTAAATTGCTGCAGAAAAGTTATTTTTTAATTTTAACATAATATATGTATTTAACGTATTTTACACATACATACATACTTATCGAACAACATAATATGGTTTATTGTTTATTTTAAGTCTGATACATTCTTTAATAAGTATATCATGATACATACTATCAGACTACTAGACAAAATGCTAGAATATAAAATAGTAACTAATTCCACAAGTCATAGAACATCATTTGTATAATTTCATTCAAAACTTAATTTATTTTTCATGATAATTACCATTTAAGGACCAATACAATTAAGATAATTGAGAAGTAAGAGTGATTATGTACCACATAATATAAATATTTTAGTTATGTTTGTAGTAATATTTTGTTTAATAAAACATTGTTATAAATATATGTATAACATTTACTTTTACAATTTGTAGCTAATATATTAATTTATTGCATAACAAGTGACCAGTTAAGTTTTAGCACTGATACATAAACATAGGATAATTACCTTGGAGCAGATACTGTGACAATAGCGACCAGGGAACTGCTGAACAGTCTGTCAACAAGACATGTTTCCTGTCCAGAGCGGCTTCCATAAATCTCTTCAATGCCATCGTCAGGTGTTAATGAAAATAGGTGGTATCCACTACTGCTGCCTGCTACTAGTGATCTGGAAGTTAAATCTTTAAATGTAAATAAAATTATACATAGCTTATGTTACTTACAAAAACCTAAGCTTTTTACTTAGTTTATTTTATACTGATTGATTTGATAAATTATTATTTAAGCCTTAGTAGCAGTATTATTAAGAACTTCACGAAACTAAAAAGAAAAAGTTGAGACAAATATTCTGACATTTTATCTAATTTATATTACTTAATGATTGTTACAATTAACATATTTTAAACATTACGCACATACACAATACTTTACTAATTATGTCTATATCTATTTTATTTGTACTTCTAAACCAAATAGATAATGAATTGAAACAATTATTAATTTATTTAATTAGTCTATAGTTACATTATAACAGCTACATTGGTTGAAAAGCTTAATCTTAAAAAAAAATACCACATTGGCAATCTATAAAAAAAGTAAATGAACAGGACCATTTAATCACTATAAAACACAATAGACTAGTCCTGTCACAAAAGCCTTTGCACGAAATAAAAAAGTGCAGGTAAGAATTACCCTAATAATTTATATGCCATATCCTTTGTTAAACATAATAAAAAAAAAACAAAAGAGAAAATACCACATTCTAACAAACAAGCAACACTTCAAAAAGCAATTTTATAAGCTTAAGTGCATTTTAATGAAAACACAACAGTATAATCTTATCCATATTAGATGTAAGTTGTTTAGAGTATCAGTCCTGTTGAATAAGGAAAAGCCCACACCATAACAAATGTCAGCTGTTTAGAATGCAAACTAACAATAGCGATATAACAGAGGTCACATAGACAAGGTTGTGGATATGTCGAAGACTCTCTCAAAAATCGTATTAATTGTTTACTATGAGTTCTATATAGTTACGAAAACATTGGCAATGACATATTGCATCATCGCCCAGTCTGGCTAACTGCGTTTTTAACTAAACCATCGTAAACGTGACCCTTTCGCGGTTTAGCAATTACCAAACCCGAGAGCAGCCTTGACGTTCATTATTGTATCATAAATACACATTTATCTATGTATATAATGTTCGTTATAAAATAAGTAATGTATTTAATATATTCCTAGGTCTATTTATCACACTTTATGTAATAGAAATATAAAATACTTACGTGCAATCCTGGTTAAATTGTACAAATATTCCACCTGCATTTGGTCCCTCTGAGCTGTTACCTCCTCCCAAACTCATTGGAACGTCCGTAGCTACAATTTTCTCTAAAAACTAATTACGTTTACAGTCATACGCGCACTACGACCTTTGTTACCACGCATAAACAGTCAATCACCAGATGTAAATAATAAAAACTTGAATATTCGTCACAAGCTCAATTTTTGACACAAAGAACGACCTTGTTGACTGCTAAAAACAAGCCCCCTCCCGCACGCTGCAAAACTAATGACTACGAATTACCAATCACAGATCACCCGTCGCCATTCGCCAATAATAAATTTTCTTTACAATGTTACCACAAAGTTAAAGTTGTTTTCCAAAGTTTAACAAAATTTAAGTAACTGCTCATGTATAAAAATACTCATAAGCACTTTAAATAGTTTTAACTACTCGTTGATGGCAAAGCTTCCAGCCTGATGAATTCATATTTAAAGGGAAGGATCCAAAGAGTTCATGTCAATGGAGTCACCTCTCCGGGTTCGCAGGTATCAATGGGCGTCCCCCAAGGATCGATTCTCGGGCCTTTCTTATTTCTGATTTACATAAATGACCTCCCATTCTTTGTCAACGAAGTTCATGAGATGGTATTGTTTGCTGATGACACTTCACTTCTATTTAAAGTGAATAGGAATAACGTATTATTGGACGATGTAAACAATTCTATCTCTCGTATAGTTAACTGGTTTAATGTAAATAACTTCTTGCTTAATGAGAATAAAACAAAATGTATTAGATTTACAACTACTAGCGTAAAGCGAGATATTGGTAACCTGAAAATTAAGGACAGTGAACTAAACTTTGTTGACAAAACTGTTTTTCTAGGCATAACAATAGATAGTAAACTCCAATGGGGCCCACACATAGAGACTCTTTCGAATAGGCTGAGCTCTGCAGCATATGCAGTAAAGAAAATCCGACAGTTTACTGATGAGGACACGGCTAAAATTGTGTACCATAGCTACTTTCATAGCGTTATGTCGTACGGCATTTTACTGTGGGGTGCTGCTGCAGAGGTTCAATCCATATTTGTGCTGCAGAAGCGGGCTGTTCGGGGTATTTGTTGTGTTTCTCCGAGGGAGTCGGTACGGAATAAGTTTAAGGAATTAAATATTATGACACTATCTGGTCAATATATTCTTGAAGCCTTGTTGTATGTCCAAAAAAATATAAACGATTTTAAAACAAATGGTGACTTTCACCAGTATAATACGCGAAATAGAACTAATTTGAGTGTACGACCAACCAGGCTCCAAAAGATAAACCACTCCTTATATGGAAATTGTATTCGTTTTTACAACAAGCTCCCAAGCGAAATTAGAGAATTATCACTAAATAAATTCAAAGCCCTCGTTAAACGAAAATTAATCAACAAAGCTTTTTATAAATTTGAGGACTACTTAAATGATCCTAATCCTTGGGATTGAATTGCTCCAGTTCAAACAATTTGTATGACAATACTTGGCGATTAAAAAGAGTGGCGGAAAGTTTCTTGCCAGTTCTTCTTACCCGCTCTACGCCCTTGACTTGCGAACTGGTAGTAAATGTAAATTTACGATTAATTTAACTTGACGATTCAAAAGTGTACTTGGTTACCTACTTGAATAAAGATATTTTGAGTTTGAGTTTGAGTTTGAGTTAATAAAATTATGATGTCATTCGTTTTATAATGTTGTAAGAATATAACTTGCATAAGGTAAAACTAATCGAAAAAAGCGGCCCTACCTAATTATTAAGACTAATAAATTCCTTGAATTGACGGAGTGTTTTTAGTATGGCAAGAATTTAAAAACCTTGTGTTGCCACCCAACCCATAAACATACATATACAATTATACATATTTTGAATCTTTGAAAAAAGTTTAAGTTAAAATAGAAGGGACTAGGGAGCTAGAGGGATACATTTAATAAAGTTACAGGTAATTTTTTTTTGTAGCCATTATCTATCTGTAAGTTGTCAACGACAAAACTGTATTCAGTAGTCACAAAAGAAATAAGAATTGTTAATTGTCGTTAACGTCATTTGGTCACAAACCACATGGGTTTTTGTTATTACCGAATTGTTGTTAAAATTTTAAAAAGTATTTATAGTTCTTAGTTTAAAAAGCTTTTGTGTTAATATAGTGTTAGTATTTCTATGTGCTTCTTTGAAACTTAAGTTCTATTGCCAAACATGGGCCGAAAAATACCTGCTAAGAAACATCGTGGTGTAAAAGATCCTCTAGTTCAGCATGCTCGGCGAATGCAAAGGTTTAAAATATGCCACAAATAACATATCTAAGTATCATAATAATCTTAGTATCTGCCGTCCGTTCGTTCCGTTAATAATTAAATTTTTCAGCATAAAAGACAAAATAAATGCACCACCCATCGATCCTGATGAGCAACCAGTTCCGCGGTCGTTGTCTAGACTATTTGCGTTTCAAGATAATGGGAAAGTTACAAAAAAGAAGAAGAAGAAACTAAGTTTACCAAGTAAAGGTAAGTTTAAATCCACCTATGTTTTGATGGCTTTTGGTTTCCACTCTTTATTTGTTGTTGCAAAATCTTAACAATAATTATAGGTTTTTTTAAACCCTTCTGACTATAGACTGATATCTTCAAGGGATAACTAACTTAATTTAGATTAAATGTATTTTATTTGAATGGGGAAAACTAAATTAAGTAGACAGCAACATAATCAAGGTACTATATATACATCCCCAATATTTCAGAAAGTATCCAGAAAGGTGTAGGTATCAACCCCATTACCCAGTTAAAAAAGTTACCTGGTGAATCTGGAAGGGGCTTTTCATTAAGAATAAACAGTGCTATACGAGCCCTTCATGATCCCATCGATGAAGAGGAGTATCCAGTAAGTATTAACAATAAAGCAACTGGTATTACTAAGTGTAAAGATATTTGTTGATTAATATAAACCCTTATAAAACATATGTCCTCAACATGTAGACCTGTTTTGATTTGGTAGTTGTGTGGAAAATAGATTAGGTAGGTAGATTTTTAGTTCCTTTAGAAGAGATATGGAATAGTGTTGGCCTAGTGGCTTCAGCGTGCGACAATGGACTTTCTTCATTTAACTTTTGTTCGAACAGTGAAGGAAAACATCGTGAGGAAACCAGCTTACTTTAGACCCAAAAAGTCGATGGTGTGTGTCATGCACAGGAGGCTGATCACATACTTGCCTATTAGGTTCACAAATGATCATGAAACAGATCCAGAAATCTGAGGCCCTGACCTAAAGAGGTTGAAGCGCCACTGTTTTTTTTTAGAAGAGATAAAGGTTCTACATAATTATACATTATCATTTATTAATTCACTTCATATTAAGTATTAACCCACTGTTTTAATTTTCTTTATAGTAAAGACTTTGATTCATAAAGATCTGTAATCTAATTTAAATAACAATTATAGATTTTTTAGTGAACTAAGTATGCATTATTCTGGTAAAACTGTAATGGTACTCTATATTTTATTCTAAGGTATGGTTGTATTATTATAGCAAGACTTAGAAAATGAAGACGCAAAGGGTGAACGAATGTTCGATCAACGTGAACGACGTAGGCGGAAAAAAAAGGGCAAACAGAATGATGAAGAGCCAAAATTGACACGTACTCAGAAATTTGCTTTAAAAAAAAAGGCGAAGAAAGAAAAAGCTGCTGCTGTGAGTCCTCAATTTTTTCAATCTTTTTAACCAATCTTTGATCCATAAATTAACGTAATCGGGGGGCACAGCATTGCGCCTGCCAAGTCGAGCAAAAAAGCGGGCACAACTGTACTACATATCCTTTTCTTGAAGCAGCTCAGGCTATTTTCCCACCACCACACACATGTTGAGTATAAATTTAGAAGCTTGAATTTTCAGTTACCAAACAGTGATTGTATAGAGAAAGTATATTACAAATTTTATTATATTTGAACCAGTAGTTTTTCTAGCTTAATTAACAAGTCAAATTTCTTAATTTTGTCACTCGCTGATGGACCAATCATCAAAACTCTTAGGCACTTAGAAGTGAATCTGCTCTAGCAGACATTGAAGATTCAAATCAAGATTTGTAATATTGATATTTTGATAGGTTACCTAATTATGTGATAACTTAAGACAGAATTTCCCTTAAGTAGCGGTTGAGTAAGTTAACCGACTTGGTATTACATGGATCTCACAACTTTTTACAGTAGAGGACCTGTTTTGTTTTTTTCAAGTTATGTTCTTAATGGCATTATATATATTTACCCCATGCAATAATACCATAATACAAAATAAACATAATGTGTTAACTACATAGTTGCACAGTCACAAGACATAATTCCTAATCTATAAAGAGAAACACCCACGCGTATACTCACGAATAATGCTGACGGACTGTCTACCTCCCAGTCTCGAATAATAGATATTAAGTTAGTCTTAAGCTAATTACCATTGTAACCGGTCAAATATATATTAATTAAAAATAAAAAAATTCTACATACTACAGACTACATAGTTCAGTGTGGTATAAATAATAATAAGTCTACGTGGGTTATCTAGACAACCATCACTAACTTTAGATGTGGGAGGGTCTTACATCTCTTATGCATTTAAGCCTCAGTCTATCTTGATATTTTTGTTATAAGACCGTTTTTTACAGGAGGAACAGATAAAAGAAGTGGTTTATGAACATGTGGAATTTGGTGACATAACGCATGCTCCACCCAATCTTACTGTAAGGCCCAAGATGAGAGGACAAGATAGTACATCAATGGGAGCACCTAGAGTAACTATAGCTAAACATAATAAATCAGTCTCTCTACTGTCTCTAACTGCTTCTCTGCTTGTTTCTACATTTAATATGTTTATTAAAACATTATAAACACACTATCTAGTCTCCCAAATTCATAATTTAAATCAGCATATAACTAAACAGAAATATTAAGGGAAAACCGCTGCCATATCACAGAAGATAAAAGTTAGCTATGTTTACTTTAAAAACAATAAATGTGGTGAAGGGATGGATTACTATGGATCTTTCCGTGTCACAGTGTATGTCACAAACTCCTTCAATGCGGCTTGACCGATTATTATGATTTTTTCCGAGTGTATATGTTCGTTGTGTTGTAAACTATTGTTTGTATCCATAAGTGATAAGGGTGGTCCACCACGATTTTTTTAAATCATTTGGCAATAAAAAAATACATATTTCCCTTAATTCACCCTTCAATCACCATCTCGACTAATAATATTTATATCGAAAACAATGTTTGCAGTGTCATCTAGTAATAAGTATATTTTTTAATTCTAGCCTGGTCGTAAAGAACTTTTGCTGAGCTCCATGTTATCTGGCAACACCAAAAATGACCTAGTAAACGCGGCAGATGTAGCGCGACGCGAACGAGCGAGGCTTGACGTTGTCGCAGCCTATAGAGAACTCAAGAAACAGAAGAGACTAGAAACTAAAACTAAAACTAAGAAAAAATGATGAATTATACAAAATATTTAAATAAATATATTCTTGTAAAATATTTATTGTGTTAACCTACCATCATCGGATTACATCAGTGTTTTCTCTTCATCTTAAAGCACATTTCAAGATGAAAGTTCTATCTTAATAGATTTGTATGCAGCTGTTGTATAACGTAGTAATAATTCCATAACATATTATATTATGGAATTATTACTCGCCTTCGCGCCTACTATTGGTCAATTAGCAAATTTATTCAATTTCTGTATGCAGTGCCGGATAAAGCCAAGGCTTTAGGATTTAAATAGTTCTCCTGTTTCCTCAAAATACTCATAATCGATTATAAAAATACAATCTTGGCTACGTAAACTTGCAAAATAAATGTATACCTATATAAAAATCTGAAGGGTACAAATAACTTGCTAGTCTAATTATGTATATCGATTATAATTAAAATTTGAAAATTAACGTTAAAAAGTTAAATACGTACTTATTTTTACGATTAAACTTGACGAAGTCGAGTTTATTTTTATTGGGAAGGGAAGCATAGAAAAAGTGCTGCGCGATAAAGGTATGCAAGATGTTTTACGCTCCTATCTAAATTAATACTTTTTTTATTACGGTCAGACAGGCGTTGGAGAGCGGGGCCCGTAGCATTTGCTACTCTTGCTAGGCACTGTCTGTAATCTGTATGCTTTATGTAAATTACGTATTTTTTAAAGTTCGAATTGTAACTTTGCTATGACTGAAATAAGGACTTCTTTATTGATACTTATTACTTATCAATAACGTAGTTTTATTAATACAAAAAATACATAGTACACGTAACTAGACGTTAGTTTTCTATAATTTATTTAGGCATAAGAAATAGATTTTTTAATTTACTTTCAATGAAACTTTTAAGATATTTTTCAACACTCAATCATGAATACAGAACACAACGTTGCATTATTACGAAATTTGTCGATTGCATTGATTGGTATTAATCAATAGGAATTTCTTAGGTCGATAGTTGATATGTTAAGAGAAGGAATAACATTGAGGTCGATTTTGCTTGAAATTCCTTTTTGTTACCAATTGTACTAAATGTAAATTCTTTAGTTCGGCTATTAAGCTTTAAATCCTGACATGATTATATGTATAATATATATTTATATAGATAATAAATATAGTTCCTTTATAAAAAACGTATAACTATTCTATAGTTAGAGAAGGAAATCTCCACTTCTTACTTTTTCTCTATCACATATACCTACTTGCCAAAACGATGCGTACTTCTAGATAAGAAATCTATTGCGTGAGAGCTTAAATGAGCATAAACAAAAAGTTTAATATAATATTATAATTTTTAGAAGCGGTTTTATATTCTTATATACTTCTACCGCCTTGTCTTGGTCATGCACTTGATTAATCGGTTTACGCTTTACGTTCTAAATATACCCATGTATTGAGAAAATACATCTAGAAAGCACAGACATTACAAAATGATGTGTAAAGAGAAGTAGAAATATACCCCATCTTGAATCTTCCATTGGCGTAATAGTCTTACGGAGCTATTGATTTTACGTTGTAAGTCTCCATTTTTGCATTATTTAATCCCGCGATAATTTGTTCACACGTGAAATAATTGACTATTAATTATACTTGATGATTTCAGGAGTTATAAGATGTCCGACAGAACAATAGATATATATATATATATAATATAGAACATTTATTTATAACTGCTATAATTTAAACCTTTATAATCCGGAAGTTATCTATTGTGATTAGAACAATGTGTCATAGTTATTATACAATGAGTATTTCATTGTGTATAAAACAATAATATTATAAATATTACGTGGTATTTGGTGAAATAATTACAACATTACCTATTACAAGAACCGAAGAGACAAACCGCTGATATTGACAGCGACCTCCATCTGGTTGTTGCCGAAATACGTCTGAAGGTTGCGCGACCAGTCGGTGCTCCTGGCCGGGCTGGATGAAGGTTTGACGTCACTAGACTGCGGGATCCTGAAACTATGAACAAGTTCCGGCTTGAACTTCGTAACCTTCACACGTCTGGTGCCCCGCAAGGTACATCTCCACCACCCGGACTACTTGAAATCATTGTTGAACCACCTACACGTCATGTCAAGTCTTCGTCAACCGCTGTCTTCGCCGTATTCTGGGTATCTACTGGCCCGGGAAGATCTCTAACGAGCAACTTTGGGAGCGTTGCCGAGAAACCTCGATTAGCAGATCAAGCGATGCAAGTGGAAATGGATGGGCCATGCCCTTCGAAGACATTCCAATCATATCGCCAAACATACGCTTAGAACCCGCAAGGAAAGCGGAAGCGTGGCTGTCCCAAGCAAACCTGGCAACAGACAGTTGCAGATGAGGCGAAGAGGGCCGGAAAGACTTGGAGCGTATTTCGCCTGTGTTTTAAGGTGAAATATGAGGCTCAAGACTGAACGCGATGGAGACACACTGTGGATGCCCGCTGCCTAGGGGTTAGGACATTAAGTCAAGTCTATCACAAAATAGTGCTCTTGATTATATTTGATTGATATAAACTTTTTAACTACACAGATTACATTTTTTTTTATTCCATAAAGGATAGATATTATAACATTTACGTAAGCAATAATCGACTTTGAAATTCACTAAAACGGAGTATTACATACGTTAGCCATGGTCTTCACCATCACCAACTTATGCAGAAAGCAATTCCACAAGTCAGAATAGCTTCAGCTTTTGGTGTGTTTTTAAATTGGAAGAATTACCTTGTTGTTTCTAGCCATATTGATATCCTGATAATCGCAGCATAAAATAATTCTCCAAATCAATTTAGACGTCCTTGAGTAATCGGGCAACATATACTTATATATATAAAACGTGATCATGTCCACCTCTAAATCTGAAGTCGTTTCACGATACCTACTATCTAAACAAAATTTAGCTTTTGTTCTAACGTCCGGTGTCTTTATTGTTACATAATATGTTTAACCATAGTTTCAAGCAGTTTATGTATTGGACGCAGGACGACCCTTATATAAAATTTTTGTAATATAACATTGTCATTTCGAAAACCTTGAATTTACCATATATTTTAGTAATTAAATGTATTTCCGTAATACGCAAAATGTTAATGTTTGCTTTCATAACATAAACAAGACGACGTGAAGCATTCTTGGGATTTTTTTTGTATAGAAAAGAAACCGCGAAAGCCAGGAATTGTGGAGGAAGATTGTACGGTTACTTCAACCGGAAGATCCTCAGATTTACGACCTATTTAACCACTGACTGTGCGATCGCCACAGTGGTTAATTATGAGAAGTTGTATATACAAGAGATTAAAAATATTTTCATTTCAAAATTAAGAGTTTAAATGTATTCTGGAACGGTGTATGTTCGTTAACCTCGCACACAAGTTGCAAGTTGAATTTAAAAAATCAATTATAGTATAAGATCCCGCTATACAACGACCTTCACCGAGATGCTTATTTAATGAAACTTATTTTATATATAATTTAATATGTCAATAAATATAATCCATATGGGTTGCCTAGCATATTTCAGTCCAGAGTATGTTTAATTAATTTAAAAAAAATATATTTTTCTAAACATTTCACCGGTATGATTATTAGATAAATTCTATACCAATCGAACGTATGAAGCCCATAGAATATGCAAACGTTAGGTTGTTTTTAATCAATTAATTATTTATGTGTATATTTTTTATGTGACACTAAAGTATATATACATCTTTAGTATAAAAGAAGGTTATAGTGATAGATATAAAATACTACCCTGATTAAAAATATTGATTGAAAAAAGTTCAAAAAATTTACTACATGCAAATTATAAAAAAAAAATTTTTTTTTAATATTAATTAAACATACCTACTCTGGACTGAAATTTGCTAGGCAACCCATATGGATTATATTTATTGACATATTAAATTAAATATAAAATAAGTTTCATTAAATAAGCATCTCGGTGAAGGTCGTTGTATAGCGGGATCTTAGACCATTATGTTGTTGACTGCCGGTAAATGTTCTGTAGCGACACCTACACTCCGCGCTTACAAATCACTGCGATGACGTCAAACCCTGAAACGAACTAACGAAGTTATTCCGGCCGCTAAGGATATAATAAGTCTAGAAATAATAGGTAATAATAATCCTGTAGTGCTCCAATGCAATAGATCCTGCACTCAGGTGTCTACATCTATTTATTGATATTTTAATAAGCAAGTATATAATATATCATTACTAGAACTCAGTGTCTGTGTGACACACCTTATATTAGGAAAGGTATAGAATTGCGCAGTTTAATATGGTAATTAATTTAATTTTAAAATTGTTACACAAGGCACATAGCGTGACATATTCGCGATGTCCTCAGAGGCGTTGATATATCATTTTTGCAATATTAGTATAACACGGTATCAAATTAATATATGTCATGATTGCATAAAAAATTGTGATTCTATGAAATTATTTATACTCAACGTGTTGAAATTTGCTAATTTTCCTCGTTTAAATGTTTCCCTACAGTCGATTACATTGTGTTTATTAATATACCTCAATATATTCCGTTATAATATTGAACAATAGTAGGCTTGGTCCACGTTGTAAGTTTTAAAAAGGCCGATTTTCATACAAGTTTCGCCAATCGATAAAGTAGTTACATTTCGTTCTCGCAGTATATTTAATTTATTTTTATAAATAAATATACCTACTGCGATATAAATCTAATATATAAAATTCTCGTGTCGCGGTGTTTGTGGTTAAACTCCTCCGAAACGGCTCGACCGATTCTCATGAAATTTTGTGTGCATATTGGGTATGTCTGAGAATCGGACAATATCTATTTTTCATCCTCCTAAATGTTAAGGGTAGTCCACCCCTAAATTTTTTAATTTTAGATAAAAAAATTATTCTTTATTTTTTTATGATACAGCATTAAAAAATACATACAACCCCTAATTTTCACCCCTCTACGATCAACCCCTATTTTTATTA